TCGACTAGTACAACCCTTATATGCAAGTATTTTTATTTTTATTTTTGTTTTCCGCTCGGTGTCCGGAGCCCACATTGGAGCCTCGACTAAATCTAGATCGCGCACCGCAAGGTCCATTCGAGGGTGGCGCTCCCAACATGATTTTTTCCACAGCCAGGACTCGAACTCGAGACCTCTGGTTAATGGTGAACCTGTCCCACTACTGCACAACAACCCATGTTGATTTATATGCCAAGTATTATTATCTAGATATACTCTTTTCACCATATTCTAAAGGTAATGAAGGACGGCGTACTTATGTTGATTCAAGGATATATGGTCAATCGAACATTCTTTATTAAAAATTAGTATTATGTATATAAATCTTTAGAGATATATTTAAATATTAAAATTTTGAACACTCTTGATAAAATTTCTAGCTTCGTCAACTGAGGTAACAAAGGAGAAAAAAGAAGAAGATATATAATGATTGATGTGAGAAGATAGGTTATAAAAAGCAGGTAATTTGAGCGGTACAAGAAACAATAATAAGATTTACCCACCCTCTTCGTGAAAACCGGAACTTCATGTGCACATGTCCCATTGGAAGAATTATTTTACAATCACCAAAATAATAGAGAATTCTTTTAACTTTGAGTGGTGTGTGACATTGTTTTTAAGAATATTTTATCGATAAAGTTTCAATTTTTACTATTAGACATAAAGGTTTTTTCTATTGCGAATTAATGAGAAATTTGAAATATTAAAAATGAATTATCCACCTTATTTCCATCAAATCAACTCATTAGAAAATGATAAAGGTGAAAATAAGATTTCCATTGAAATAAGCTAGTAAATTTTTTTCGTTTTTACTGATTCAATCATAATATCTATGAAAATAGCCATTAATATTTTTCACTGAAACTTTTTAATAGAAAATAGTGTTTTTTTAGAATTGTTTCAACAAACTCTTCTAACTTATATTAAGATAAGAAATAACAAAATAAAAATATTATAAAATCTAGCAAAACAAAATTTGAAAAGGAAGAAATTGACTCCATGTTTCGCTATATCTTTTCCTGGCCAATTAACATAAATAATGTATTGTATAGTCTTACTTATAAATTATAGCAAATCTAATATATATATATATATATATATATATATATATATATACACACACAAT